ACATATGTTTTCCTTGACCTCCAAGTTTTCGTTTTTAACCGTTTCAGTCCCAGTTGCGCCTAGGCTTGATGAAGGCTTGTTTTATGCACCTAGACCTCTTTTGGGAGGAGACAAGTTGACCATGATGTGACAATTTCTCCCTTTTTCACTCCCACACTCTCCTACTTCTCCATTCTCCCTCTTGGCCCTTTCTCTCCACCCTTGCTGACCGTTTTATCTCGAACCACACTAGAACCCCCTTTTTTAGGTTGACTGCACCTGGGTTCTTCAAAACTAAAATCCTTGTACTTTGTTACATCCCCCTTGAGTCCCTTCTCAACTTTCAGGCATATAAGCCTTGAAATTGAGACTTTCTCACTTCTATTGTAACCTCTTGTGTTCCAGAACTCAAGAGGCCACCTCCTTTTTCAGTTTCACTGTGCCCGGACACTAACATGACTAGTGTCCTGCAGTCCACTGCACCCCTCAAGCTTCTCATTCCTTATTTATGAGTCCCACTGCGCGTAGGACTCTCCCACGCTACCTTTGGGTGGCCACTAGGCCATAGGCTAGGGTCACTCTTGACGGCACAACGACATCATTTTCCTTTGTGTCGTCTGCCCCATTTGTTGTGGCACACTGCCATCGTGCCATTTTCACTTTTGGCCTCCCCTTTCCAATGGGGTCATCTCATTATATTTATCTTCTCCCGTTCATTCAATTCTTGTTGTAGTTGAGCCTTCTCCCCTTGTCGTCATTTCGATGCGGCAATGACAACCGTCACATAAAATTCTCGTGTCGTGGTCCTTTCAACTTACTCATTTTTATTCTTGCCTTTCCAATTCACTTGGTGGTATTTTCACAATGTGGCTTACTTCCCATGCCTTGCGACCGCCAAAACCGCTTTTACTGCTTTGCCATGTCTGCAAATCCTTGGCGGTGTTCATTCCCTTAAACCACTAGTACCTCCGAGCCTGTTTTTGCCGACCTTGAATTTCATTGCGTCCGATTTTTGTCGAGCCTGGGTCCCTCTCCATTTTCTTTATGGTACTCTCACGAGAAGAAAAGTAAAAGAAAAAAAAAAGTTGCGGTCGTGAAAAAGACTGGCAAAACAAGAAAATAAAAAAAGGAAACAAAGCTCTGACTGTGATTGGAGTTGTATACATTCTTGGAAGTGGTAGTGTGAGTGTGCCCTCAATAAAAGCATCTCAACCCCGTGGTCAGATTGTCAGATTCCAAAAACACAAAACAAAAGAAAAAAACCAAAAACACGGATTCTGCCATGAAAATGGTTGAACACATTCCTTTAAGTGCTGGTGTGATCAAGGTTACAATCCTCTTAGGAAGCACAGCTTGAGGAGGATGAGGATAATTCATCGAAGATAACATTCCACAATATCATCACACCAGTGCGCAAGGGAGAGGAGAGGAGAGAGAGAAAAGAGGGAGAGAGGGAGAGTCACATACCCGCACCATAAGTCATCAAAAAAATGTATCGTTGTTAAACGCGACAACAACCATTTCGAAACCAAAAGAAACTGAAGCTATGGATGAAAATTTTGGCGTGCGACCCTACATGTTTCGGCCAGTCGCCGTACTGGCTTCATCAGGGGTCTTTAGTCGCTTGACTGACTTCACGTGCTAAGACCTGACTAAATAGGAATTTGCAAAAAAGGCTATTGAGAAAAACAGCACTTCGTCAACACCGCCCTGCGTCCGGGCACCTCGTCAGAACCCTGTCCAAAAAACTCAGTCCTACCCAAATTACAACCTATGCATATCCCGCTCATTCATTCCTCTAGAACCCGGGCCTACTCCGATCCTTGCTACTACGGAAAAAAAGCACCTGACCCCCCTTTTTTGCCGAACCGCCGGGTCCAATTCCAACCCCATGCACCTGTCCTGCTATACTGCAGAAGGGGAAAGTATCGAAACATATTTTTTATGCATACCACCATTTTTAGTTCCTCTCGATACTTCCAAGAGCTACTGGTTCCTTCCGACGATTCCAAGAGATGTTTTGTCCGAACCAGAGAGGCAGATTTCCTATCGAGTACACCTGTCATTCGCTAAAGTGGAGGAAATGAAAAAAAAAAAAAAAAAAAAAAAAAAAAAAAAAAAAAAAAGGGAAAAAAAAAGAAAAAGAAAAAGAAAAAGAAAATAAAGAGAGAAAGAAAAAACAAGGAATATAGAATACCCCTTTCCACATATACCACCCAGTAAGGACCTTAACCGAGTCACCCCAAATTCCCCCACCCTTTCTTGAAAAATTGATTAACGCCTTGTCAAAAATGTCGTCCGGGAACCTCCTCCTTCTCATTTCCACCTTGAGCGTGAAAAGAAAGACCCCTCCCATTCCATCTATCGTCGTCATTGTCCTTGCCCAATGAAAAAACGAGGTGACGACAACCATTTTTTGCCGTCTTGATGAGAAGGAATCGAAGCCCTCCAGACTCTACAACAACCGACCCTCCCTCAAGGGAACCGCTGATTCTTATGAGTAGCCACACATGCCACCTTACCTTCATCTTGTGCTACCATCAAAATACACCCAAGAAAATCCTAGATGCTTCCCTCATTTGTTTTTTCCAAAACCGGGTTCCCATCATATGACTGCTCAAACACTTTGACCATCTCAAGCGCTTTCAGCTTCGTCCCTACGTTCCCCTTTCTAAACTTGACGAAAATGGAAACGTCATCCACCATCCTCACACCATGCACCAAATTTCAATCGATTCCTAAAGATGTCAAAAAAGTAAATTCGTTGTAAACACACAGCAAGCAGGCCAGTGCTGGGCTCGATGACTTCCCCATCGGGATGCCCACTTCCTGGCGCAGCAATACCTGGGACGCGCTAATAAATGTATGCCGCAAATCAAAATCAATAAAGCTCGTAAGAGACTCGAAAGAGCGGTCCACACAACCTTCGTGTTTCTTCCCAAATCTAATTCTTGCCCCTTCACCTCTTTTTTTCACCATCATTCCCTTTGCACCCTCGCGACACCAGAAATCACAAATCCACCTAACCGCTTCCATCACAGAACTGTGCCGCAAATTGCAAAACATTTCCTTTACATCAAAACTAGCCCCCAGGATTCCTTCCCCCTCCCCCACATCCCTGCCAATCCTCCGAACCTCATCGGCCAAGCTCAGAGTGCTTTTTAAATTAAAGTTGGTTTGGCTTGGTAGCCCCCACACCATCTGATTCACCATTGTCGACACCCGCTTGTTGGCGACAACCGCATGCTCTGAATGAGATGGGCAAATCGGTCACCAACGCTGCACATCCTTGTGCTTAGGGATCGCGTAGGCTTTGCCGATCTCCCCTTTACCGTTCCATGCCCCTAACCGCTGGAACCCCCTCGCCTTGTATTCCCCCTCCATATCTCGGACCACCCTTGAATCCTCCTCGCCGCACCTTTTGAAGCCTATGCTGTTTGTGAACAATTTCCTCATTCCTTCATTGTAGGTGGTCGGACAGCAAACTAGCGTATCCCTGGGATTATGGTCTATTGGGCAACACACCAACCCCTTGAATCTGTTTTTCCATTCGTACGCTTGACGCTCTTCTATCCCAACACTCCCTTGATTATTCTTCACCAAGCACTCCCTAAGGGTCCCAATAGTATCCTTCTCCCATTTTACCGCTGGCAGCCTGCTATGTTCAAAAAACTTCTCTATCTGTTTACGCAAATCCCCTAACACAGTACAACGGTTGGGGCACATAATGTTTTTCGAGTTCCTTAGCCAGCTTGGCACCCCCTCAATGTCTGCCAACCTCGCGCACGTATGGCCATTCACTTTCGGCAGCCACTCACACGTGTCTATGCATGTGCAGGCAAGCTCCCCTTTCCTTGCTTCCGAACGGAAATTGTGCAGAACATCACCTACCGTTCTGTTTTTTGTCCAAACAACCCTCATACGCCTAATCAGCATGCTCTTCCATACGTCCTCCACATCCATACCTATCAACAATTTTGCACAAACCTGCCTAATCCCGGCTTTACTCACACAGTCGCCATACTTCACACGCACCACCAGTCTTTGCCGGACATTAACGCCAAATCGTCGCCTTATCACACTCGACAACAGTACCCTCAGTTGGAATCTGGTTCTTTTTTCGCCAAATCCTCTAATAGCACCAAAGCACAGACCAACCAGTCAAAATCCTTCGTACTTAACTCGGTCCTACTTCGTGGATTCTGTAGCAATTGCGCTAGTGGTTCCTTCAGCTTCTCCGTGCGCGAACAAAACCCCGTTATGGTTTCAAAAGTTACCAATACATTCTCACGGAACCATCCCTTCACATTTCGTAAATTCGCTCGCCCATAGACCGATGAGACCACAGAGCCACCATAACATTTTTTTATCAACTTCCAACCCCCAACCCAGATGTCACCTCCCCTACACTTCACCTGCATCAATCTTACATTTTCTCTCCAGTAGTGATCTAGAACATCTTTAAGTTTAACCGATGTCTGACCAATCGACACTTGGAAACATAGATGCGTTCGCCCCTCATTACGCATAACACCCTTGTGTCCATACCTCTTTCTTTTCCTGTTTCTCTCCCTCTTTCCTGGTCTTCTTCTTCCCATCCTTCCCCTTCCGCCTTTCGTGTTCAACGATGCGTCACGAAATCGAATTAGTGTCTTCTCTAGCTCCAATAAATCCCCCTCATCGCACTTACATAGTGGCAACGGGACATACCCCTCGACCCCTGTCCTCCTCAACCATTGGTCCATTGGTACAACCTATGGTTCCTCGCATCTGCCACTCCTTTCCTTCCTCTTTCAACCCTACTAACATGTTCCGACCAACGCACATCCAGCGTTCTCGTAGTCGAGCCTACGTATACGTCCCTATACCATGGCGAAATGAGCACATACACCAGCGGGCCATCCGATTTCAACAGGTCCTCTCTCCGACCCAGAACGTCCGTTAAGTAGCCTTGAAACTTTTGCCCCCACGGTAATGCTCCTGAAAAAATCAACAGGATAACCAGCATCTGGAGCATTCTACATAGTGTTGGGTTACGTATGCTGAAGACACGCTCACTCCCAATCTGCGCTGCTAATTTCCTTAGTGTCACGTCCGGGTACCGTCATTAATAATCTGACTGCACCTCATGCACCTCCACGAAATCGTCACTGGTTCCATCCCCCTCTACCTTTTCTTGATCCGGTTTCTCTCTTGCCATACGCATCCTTGCTGAGTCGAAGCTGCCAAACACATCAATCACCCGCCGCTCCACGATTTCCTCCACCGTGACGTCAATTTTCTTGTACGTAATCCCCATCTTTTCACAAATCTCCATCGGTTGCGCCTTATTCTTCTTACCCAATTCCTTTCTCTGCTCTTTGATAAACTGATATCGATCATTCACCTCCTTCGCATTGCTCGAGATTCTTCCTGGCGTTGCCTTACACCTGCTCTTTTTCACACCCTGTTCACTCGGCTTCTCTGCGACATGCTCCAATCGAACCCGGAGGTTGCTAACCGGAGTTGCGGCTGCTTTGTTTGCGTTAATAAGTCGCTCGGCCCTTTCCTTCTGCATTACTGCTTCAGCCAAAGCGTCCGCCTTCATTTTTTCAGGACGTCAACTTCGTTCAAAGTAGCTTGATATTTGGCACGCAGATCTTCTAGTTCCCTCATGCTACTCGTTCCACCCAAACCCTCCTGAGCAGTCCTTGCCCTTGTGCGCCCTTGGTTCCCTTTCGTGGTGGCCATTCCTTGTAACGCAACCTGTCCTCGTTTGTTGCCTGGTCGTAGGGCCTCGCCCTTCCAGATCACCACCTCCTGATCAGCCTTCTCTGTTCGTTTCCTTAATTGCTCATTTTCCAGAGCTAGCAGTTCAAGCCTCTTTTCTAGCCCATTCCTCCCCAGCTCCGCCTCCCGTCGTATCTCATCCATCTCGTGCCTCAGTCTCGTTACCTGATCGTCAACCCCTACTGCTGCCTCCGTGGTTTCCGTGTATCTCTGCTGGCAACACGAACCGTGGTTCGTAGATCCGGACCAACCGACGTCCTTAACAAGTCTCCCTCCCGCCGACGTAAGTCTTCCAGCTGCCTTCTTGCAATCTCTCTGTCCGTCTCTCCCTGCATCACGATCTTGCCTTGACTAGTTGATGCCGCCTGTTGCTGCTCCATTTGCTTCTTCAATTTGTCAATCTCGCCATCCTCCTCCTTCCTCTTTCCAAAGTATACCTCATACATACTCTTAAGTTTTGCCTCCATTTGAGCTCCTATGGTCTCTTCCAGCTCCTTACATTCCTTCTCCCGAATCTCCCTGTTCTCTTCTTCTTCACGCTTCCTGTTTGCTTGCTCCTCCCTTTCCTGCCGTTGTCGGTCCCGCGCGTCCAGCCTTCCGACAATCGTTTCGATCTTTTCAACCCTCTCCCCCATTCTCGGGTAGTAGTTGTTTGACCTTGAAGCCTGGTATTGTGTCGGCTGAACTTGCCCTCCCACACCAGGGGGCGCCGACAGCGTCAGAAGTGGTTGCACCGGCTGTGTATTAGCCACCGCTCCTGAATAGTTGTTCACTCCTCCGCCATGCGGGGGATTGGGACATTCCCATCCGATGTGTCCGGCCATGCTGCATGCGTAGCACGTTGGTATGAAACCTGACATTCCGACCTATGGAAGAGAAAAAATAGAGTAAGGAAGAAAGAAAGAAAGAAAGGAAGAAAATAAGAAAAGAAAAGAAAGGAGAGACGCACTAAAGCAACGAACAGCGGTAGCGTATTTGGTCAGCGTAGCCACACTAAACGTAGTACTATCTCTACGTAGGTTACCATGACAAGTGATGAGGATAATTCCTCGAAGATAACATCCCACAATATCATCACATCACTGCGCAAGGGAGCGGAGTGGAGAGAGAGAAAAGAGGGAGAGAGGGAGAGACACACACCCGCACCATAAGTCATCAAAAAAATATATCATTGTTACCCAGACGTGACAACAGCCATTTCGAAACCAAAAGAAATTGAAGCTATGGATGAAAATTTTGGCATGCGACCCTACATGTTTCGGTCGGTCGCCGTACCGGCTTCATCAGGGGTCTTTAGTCTCTTGACTGACTTCGTGTGCTAAGACCTGACTAAATAGGAATCGCAAAAAAGGCTCTTAAGAGAAACGGCACTTCGTCAACACCGCCTTGCGTCCGGGCACCTCGTCAGAACCCTATCCAAAAAACTCAGTCCTAACCAAATTGCAACCTATGCATATCCCACTCATTCATTCCTCTAGAAACCAGGCCTACTCCGACCCTTGCTACTACGGAAAAACAGCACCTGACCCCCTTTTTTTGCCAAACCGCCGGGTCCAATTCCAACCCCACGCACCTGTCCTGCTATACTGCAGAAGGAAAAAGTATCGAAACATATTTTTTATGCATACCACCGTTTTTAGCTCCTCTCGACACTTCCGAGAGCTACTGGTTCCTTCCGACGATTCCAAGAGATGTTTCGTCTGGACCAGAGAGGCAGATCTCCTATCAATTTCATCTGTCATTCGCTAAAGTGGAGGAAATGAAAAAGAAAAAGAAAAAGAAAAA